GGTATAACACTTAATAAAAGTTACACCGGTGTCATTTGAACCCTCCACATATATATATATATATATATATATATATATAAAGATATATATGTATATATATACATATAGATATATATTGATAAATAGATAGATCCTCTATTTCCTTTAAGTGTTATATTAGTTAGGTTTTTAAATGTCATAATATTAAATTTTAAATCTTCTTCTTTATATTTTTTTAATTGTTTACAAGTATGCTTTTAAGAAAAGTAATTTTATTCATAGCACAATTAAATATGAAATATAATTGTTTCCTTAATAAAAAGAATAAAATACATTTATTTATATATTTATAATGAAAGGATTCACTTGCTCCAAAAGCAAATCTACTTAAATTTATTTCGCTCAATAATTTATATTTTACATTAAATTTAAACAAGAGTTAATCATCCATACACTACCAGTTAAAGTTTTTTATACTGGCAACCAATCGTATCTTTTGAATTATTTTATTTTATTTTTATTTCATTAAATAAGCAACTGACATGACACTACTAAAAGATATGATTGGTTGTCAGTGTAAAAAAACTTTACATTGATAGTGTATAAGTGATTAACTCTTTAAACAATCACACCATTGAACTAAAATTTCTTTATGCATGCTGCAATTTTTTTAAAAAATTAAAAATTATTTGATACTTTATTTCATTAACTCAAATTGATAGATAATTATAAAAATATTTTATACGTTGAGTTGAATTAATGAAATGAAGTATTATCTAATTTTTTATTTTTAAAAAATTTATAAACTTAATTTATATATTAAGAATTTTGAATTTAGTAATAAATTGTTAAAATTTAATATAAAACATGAGTTATTGACTCTCGTAAATATTTTATGTGTAATTTGATATGATGCAAGTAATGCATGAGAATGTGTGAATGGGCCTTTATCACTGTTTTAAGTCTTCAATTAAAAAGCTGTCAAAAAAGGTCTTCAATTAAAAATATTAAATATGACTGGGCCTATGTTGATCTTCTTTTAGGGAAAAAAATTTGTTAATCTTGTTAGGTGGAATAGTTGCCATTGATTATGAACCAACACATGTTAATGTGAAAAAAGTTAATATTAGTAACAAAATTATACGTTAAGAAAATGACTATTAACTATTTATTTATGATTGTATTAGTAATAGTAATTATCCTCCCGTTTTAATTATTAGCAAACAAGAAAGATACAGCTAAACGAGAGAGTTGGGTGCTGATGTGAGACATGACATAACGTGTGTGC